GATATCTCAATGTGGTTTTGATTTGCATTTCCCTGATGCTGAGTGATGCTGAGCATTTTTTACGTGTCTGTGAGGTAATATTTTTTAAAACTTTCCTAGGTATTCCTTGTAGAGAAAGCAGGGCGACGCTCTCTGTTTCTAATTGGAATGAGTGGGATGTTTGTCTGTGCCATCTTCATGTCCGTGGGCCTTGTGCTACTGGTGAGTTTGGTGCCTGCATTGAGATTTTTGGTTACCATATGATAGCACTTTTGCACTCCAAGTTTAAAGTGCTCTGTATGTCTAAAACATTTGAGATTGACTTATGAAATAAAGCCAGAGGAGCAGCATATAATGCAAAGGAGAAATGTAAAGAAAAAAAAGAACTAGTTTCTTGTGTTTAAAGACTGAATACCACCATGTAAATTGTGTTTGTTATCCAGCAAGACAATGTAGCCACATGGTTAGAGCACAGATTCCGGGGTTAGCTCCAACTGGGTTCTAATGTTGGCTCTGCCACTTGCTGTCTATGTGACCTGGGGCGTGTACCTGAACCTCTCCCAGCCCAGTGTCCTCATCTACTGCTTCCTGGAGAGTCATACATTTTGTCTAACAACTTCGGCATGAGTAAGAGCAAAGGTATCTTTGCCTTGCCTCTTTCATGAGAAAAGAGTGACTAAGCGTCATATGAAGTCCTAATCCAGCAGATTTCCTATAACGGAGTTCAAGAGATTTAAGCATGATTCAGACTAGAATAATCTGCCCCGTACTAGAATAACTCGTACTTGACTGGACGTACCAATACCATAGGAAGAAAGCTGTGGCCAACTCTGAACTCAGTGAGAGGCTGCTTAGCTAGAGGAAGAAGCAGCCAATGATCCCAGCCCCACTTTTGTTTTTGTTTTATCTTTTCCTCAGAATAAATTCACTTGGATGAGTTATGTGAGCATGATAGCCATCTTCCTTTTTGTCAGTTTCTTTGAAATTGGGCCAGGCCCAATCCCCTGGTTCATGGTGGCCGAGTTTTTCAATCAAGGACCACGCCCTGCTGCTTTAGCAATAGCTGCCTTTACCAACTGGACCTGCAATTTCATTATAGCTCTGTGTTTCCAGTACATTGCGGTAAGCAACCTAACTGCAAATTTACTGAACAGAAGAGAGGGTCATGCAGCTACTAACTGGAACTCTGTTTGTTCTCTACCCAGGACTTCTGTGGACCTTATGTGTTTTTCCTCTTTGCTGGAGTGGTCCTAGCCTTTACCCTGTTTGCATTTTTTAAAGTTCCAGAAACCAAAGGAAAGTCTTTTGAAGAAATTGCTGCAGAATTCCGAAAGAAGAGTGGCTCAGCCCGACGGCCAAAAGCTGCTGTAGAAATGGAATTCCTCGGAGCTACAGAGACTGCGTAAAGATAACCTGCAATACTTTACTTTTTGACATGAACAGAAACAGGAAGGAAATCGTGTTTTTAAATGATGATTCCTTGAGAATTTTACATCTACATGTTGGAGTATTGTTTTATTTTTAAAGAGCTTTTATGGACTCTGATCAGAAATAACACCACATATTACCAAAGAAAGTATTTTTTTAAGTTAGAAAATCTATTTTTGATGGTAAACTCTGTAATTAAACAAACCATAAAGGCTAGCTCATTTTGTTACACTAAAGGGCAAGTACGTTCTAATGTTCCTCACCCTGTTTTTTATAACAAGGTTATCCTAAAATTGAAGAGGTTTCAGTGTATCATATTATTTCTTCATTAACTAGAAACCTGAAGTTACAACTAATACTTATATATTCGAATATGATTAAATTGGAATTTTCTTACCCACAGATCTCATTCTAAAGGAGTTATAGCTAGTGGCAGTAAAATCCATGTTAAAATTTACAACTATTCCATTTCTCTCACTCAGCTTTTTTTCTTGTATATTAAAATTTGTATTTTGTTTAAAATTTTATTTTTTCCTGTATTTTCATGTGGAGTGGTTTATTGAGAACATTAAAATATGTTTATAGAGAAAAACTTTTATTTTGGGTAGGTTTACCAAAATCATTCAGTACTCAGGAAAAAAATTTTTAGTTCTTTTGATAACCAAATGGTTTTTGCACAATTAAACACGAAAAAGGTTTTACCTGGTTGTATAACATCAGTTATCAGTTAATATTAACATCTATTATAAAACCATGTTAATTCCTTACAACTTCAATCCTTTAAGTTATATTTTGTTTTGCTTTTTAATTGAGCACACCTGGTTTTCTGAGCTGTGCTACAAAATACACTCAATCATGAGTCAGGCATTTTGCATATCACCTCAAACTCCTAATAAGTTAGATCAGTCTAACTTAGGGAAATTTGAAGAAAAGGATTGCTCTATTTTTAAAAAACATTTTCTGAATTATTATGTCTCAAGACACATTGAAGAAATAGGGTTGGAAGATTCGTAAGGGTGGGCTCCTGAAAATTTATGAATGTTCAATTTCAGACGATCAAAATCCCTCAGTCTTACCTGGAAAGACCGAGTTCCCTAATTTAAAACAATCATCCTCTTTGACATTTTCTTTGTCTTAACCATATATAGAGTCTATCTAAACAATTCTATTGCAATTACTAACATTANAAAATTTATGAATGTTCAATTTCAGACGATCAAAATCCCTCAGTCTTACCTGGAAAGACCGAGTTCCCTAATTTAAAACAATCATCCTCTTTGACATTTTCTTTGTCTTAACCATATATAGAGTCTATCTAAACAATTCTATTGCAATTACTAACATTAATTGTGCCCTACTGATGCGCCAGGCTCTAAGTGCTTTTACCTAAGTAGGCAAATTGGAAATACACAGATAATTAATCAGACTTTAGCTCAGAGTTAATTTTACAATTATGGAAATACAGTTCTGATGGATACCAAAGGCTTAGCAGGGAGTTGAGTATTTCCAGGCTGTTCTCCACAAAGCAGAGCACTGAATCAATCCTTTTTATGTTTGCATTAATGTGCATTGAAGAAAGCATTTTTAAAACATACTTTTTACAAGTGAAAAAAACAAAACAAAACAAAACACTGAGCACTTTTTTTTTGCCAAAGTTGTTCACATGTAGTTTGGAAATCCAAACAACATGAAATTATTTATTTCCACTTTGATTTTTTTTTCCTTTGAGCCAATTTAGGATGAACTATTTTCACTTGGGACTTCAGGATACAAAATGAGTTTAAATAGTTCAGGACATCTTTGTCCTAAACTGTGAATGCTGGACTAAAATATAGGGACTCTGAACAGGGCAGGAGCAGGAAAGTGGCTCCTGGGTGATTACTGTCCTCTTCAGGATGATGACAGCCTTCAGGAAGCCTAAAGTTACAATGATAAAGGAGTTTAACATTTTTATAGGCAGTAAATGTGATTTAAGCAAATCATTATTCTTGATCTCATTTACTAAGAGCATAAAGTAGTAAAGGATTAAATAAAGAACCCCAAAGACAACTCTTAAATTCTTATTATTTTGACTGACCCACAAACACCAGAAATTCGGATCCTGAAGTTTTTTGCCTCAGAGAAATTTAGATACCTTACATTATTTTCCTTCCAAAATTTTTTCCTTGCAGAAATAAGCATAAGTTAAAAAGAAACATTAAGGAGAAATAAGAAGCTAATAAAGCATTATACAAGGACTAAAGAACTAGCTTAACATAATAAAAATTTCTAGGTCTTCAACAGTATACATCACAATAAACAATAAAATTGGGCCTAATTGATTAGATTGAATCCAGGGAAAGTAGATGTGAGTTTGAACACTTAATTTTCCAAGGACTCTATCATTTTTGTGGCAGTGTGTTCATATTCTAACATCCTTATAAATGTTATTTTTTTCTTAGCTTAACTGAAGTATGAAGATTAGACTTCTTGGTCTGGCACTCAACCTGCTACATCTAGCTACACAACACACAGTCATGAAACCCAGGAAAGGGTCATATAAAACTTTCTCCTCCCTACTTTCCTCTACACGATCAGCATTATAATGTAGGCTGAGATACAGGAAGGCACGTCTCCTCTCTCCCGCTTCAAGGAGCTCACAGTCTAATGGGGAGTTCAGGAAGACCAGTATATTAGTATCCCTATCCTGGGTTTGGAGCCCTATCTTGTAAAATAGGCACAGTAATATTATCTACCTCAGAGAGTTGTGAGGACGAAATGCAAAGTGTTAAGCATACATAGTGTAGTCCCTGGTACAAAGGGGGTGCTTAGTAAATGTTACCTGGAATTAGCATTCACAGAGATACTGTTAGGATAAAGCATTATCACATATAAGATAGTTCCAAATTTTGCCTTAGAATAAAAGTTTTATAAATTTAAGTTAATATTTTCTTACTTCACAGAAACAATCTCACAATGATAAGGGAATGGTACCAATCAGGGGAGATATTAGGCTATCTAATTCCTAAATCCATACTTGAAGTTTCTAAGTAAGGTTATAAGAGCTTTTATAGTATTTTTAAAATTTGCTTTTGCCTAAGTTATGTTAGTTTTTAAGAGGTCTAAATGTAATATTATTTCTTTGGATAATACTAAGTATAAAATAAAATATTGTACTGTATATCATACTTAATTTAACAGGATTATAATCACAGGACAATTTTAAACCTTGTTGATAATCTTCGAAAATTGCAAGTGTTATATACATAAACCACCTGCATGCATAAGCTTCCTATTGCTAGCTTAATTGCTATATATGTAGCAAATACAACAATATCTACAAATATTAGGCAGTATCATGTGCTTACAGTGTCCTAACCAGAGGTGCAGAGTAAAGTGTAAAATATATATATATAATTTTTGTTACAATTCTATATTAGAAACCTCAGGAGAAAAGATTTATTGCCAACCACTCTGAGCCATCTGCTGGTGTTTTTACTGCTCTCTAAAATTTGGTGTGCATTAAAAAAGAAACTAGTTTTAGCTGAGTATATGTACACTACAGTTTTATGTCAATAAATGTTTTTCTGAATGCTTAATGTTGCTTCATTTTATATAGAAAATAACCATATTTTAAAAGTTGATATTGGTTTACTATATATATATTCATTTCCTTTTCATAGTATTTTCCCTATTCCCATGTTAGGGATAAAATGTGAGTTATTTTTTAAGCCCAAATTTTATTTTTATTTTGTTGTTGTTTTGATTGTCAGTAGTAGAAAAAACTAATGTGAAGACTAAGTAAGAACAGTTGAAGAGGAATGAATAACTCCCTTTGATGAAAGTAGTAATTGACTTCAGCAAAATATTTAGTTGAACTCCTATTATGAACAAGATACTTTGTTCAAATTCTGTGAAAGACAAGGCTTAGAAGACATGGTCCTTACCATCAATCACCTACATTCTCCTGAAAGGGATGAGATTTAAAAACAAATAGTTACAAAACCATTAATAGAATAGTAAAGGATAGAATAGAAAAAACTATGTTAGTGTTTTTCAAATTTTTATGTTGACGTCTAAAATTCATAGAATATAGAATATATTTAAAGAATATAGTATATATGACATTAAAAATTTACTGTGTTGTTTCACTATCCAGTGGAATTTAAATACTATAGTAATTTGTTACCATCAACCATTAAAAAATGGTATACACACACACACACAT